TTTTGCACCGAGTTGGTGCGATTTTAGCAGAAAGTCTGCACAATCTCTAGATTGCGATTCTGGCTCAAATTGTGCTTACTGTGGACAGTGTAATTCTGGTTCTCGGCTCCACGGCGGCCGTGCGACGAACATGCACATGGCCTTCCATGTGCAGTTGGCTCAACTCTGCGGGGCTCCGTGCACTGTTGGCTCAAGCCCTGCGGGCTCCATGTGCGGCTGGGACGTGCTTTCAAAAGAAACTTTAAACCTTCTGTAAACTCCCAAACGGAATTTAAAAATTCCGTAGCCTGTGGCCTTGTGTTTTCTGATTGCAATTCTAGCTCAAGTTCTTGTTTTTTTTGATTGGTGCCACAGTACATTGATTTGAGAAGTGTTCTGTGTCATTGGAAGCCACTGTTGGATTCTGGCTTAGCAGTTCTTGGAGTCGGCGCCTTTTGCAACTGCCCAGCAAACATGAACGAGGAGTTTTTGACGTCAGCGCAGGCTTCTCAGAAGCTTGGGCCCTCCAGTCGGCAAGCTTGCTGATTCCTCGTTTAGATGCATGACGAAGAAGTTGAAGAAGTTGATGAACTTCAACATGCGTCAGGTCAGAAAGCCGAGGCAGAACTCCTCATGTCCCAGCGAGAAACCTTGTCTTGGAACCCCCGTGATGCAGCTGCACCTGGAGATGACATAGCTGGAGACAAATCCTTTGACTCTAACAAAGCTCCCAAGTACCTTTCAGAATTCCCCCGTGCGCGAGGCCATCAGACTTTGGGAAATTAGTCAGGAATAATACAGTGCTTCTGCAGCTCAATGGGGGACATTGGTTTTAGAAATTGGAACAAGGGGTAATGCAAGGCACCAGTTACAGTGCTGAACGTTACAGTCGCTTGATGGCCTGGGGGGTTCGTGGCTTGGACTCAACATGGGACCAAGAATACGATCCGTGCATCGAAGGCATCTGCACGCCCTCATATGTTCGGCACTGCTGACTATTTGCACGTGCATGGTCCTTCGGAGAATTTGGTTTGGCCTGTAATCAAAAACTGCAACCGAATTCACCACTGAGTGTATACACTCCAGCTTTGTCAGAAGGTGCAGCATTCCCACAAGCAATGTACGAGGGCATCCTCAAGATCGTGCGGACTAACGAAGCCAAGCTGGCTGAGACGTTACAGTTCCAACTACATCAAACGGAAGAAATTGAGAAGCTAATTCGGGAATTTGCAGGAAGTTTTCGATATAATGTTTCGGATCTAGGTGCATGCCGAAGAATCCTTTGACGGCTTTCTAGAAAAACTTGAGAGCCACAGAAGATGCATGCCACCAATCTTTCAAGCTTGTCAAGCTCGAGGAATTCATTGCAAGGCTTTGGTAACGGTTTAACAATGGAACTAAGTTTAAGCATGTCAAGATGTCTTATTTTCACCTCCAGAATGTGTTGGAGTCCGAAGTGACACCCGCTATTCAAGGACTGCAAGCCCTAATTTCAACTGGCAGCTGAGGAAGTACATAACACAGTTACCACTCATGCAGCGAGTTGTCAAAACAATTGCATGATTCACGAACCTCAAGCCTCTCTCACCCTTCAGTCATGTCGTATTCACGAGGCTCAACATTTCGTGGCCCCCGTAGCCACAATGAATCCTTCACCTGCCTTGGCCCACCCTCTACGAGGGTCGAACTGCGCTCTTTCGGTTCATGAACAGGAAGCAAGTGCGACTTCAGTTAGTATGTCTGGAATTCCTTGCATGCCTGAGACACAGCCTGACCTTTAATCAGGTTGATGCCTCCGAGGTTGGTTGTTCGGATGAGCCCCTTCCTTTTCAGTAAGTGAGCTCACTGAATACCCCATCTTGCGACCCCTTGAAATGAGGGCAGCACGTATGTTTCAGCGAGACACCCCTCCCACACTCATGGACATCTTTGGACTCAACAATATGTACCCCAACAGCTACCTCAGTCGAGGGCCCGATGGATGTCGCTATGTAGTTGGCGGGGCAAATCCTAGGAGCAATGAGTGCCTACTGACCTTTTCGATCGATATGCCTTTCGTTTGCTTTGTGGTTACGGAACTTCTTGCTTGGATTTCCCAAATTTCTCACAGGTTCATTACTTTCACTATTAGCAGGCGGTTGTAAAGAGGAACCACACAGTGACCTCAGACATGGAACAGACGAATCGATAGTGCTTCAAGTCTCCCCTCCAATTGCGGGGTCAGGGCTCTGGGTACAAGACCTTGGAACAGTCTATCGGAACCATAAGGGTAACTTGATTGCAGGACGAATTGTTAATATCGACTCACCCTACATGCTGCATGCCCGCCAAAGACTACATGCAGGCTGTGTGCCCAATGGCATGGACACGTAGTCTCGGGTCAGACTTGTGGCCTTCTCAACTTAGCTTTCAGAATCTCCCACCAAACTAGCCTCCAAGAAGCCTTAGCTGAACAGTCCAGGCTCAAACAGCTAACCATCCCAGAACTCCTCAAGCTCTCCCCTGTTGCCCAGGATCAACACGGCATTATCGAAGTACTAGACAGTCAGGAGAGTGAGAGCATGCGATGTTGCCTTGCTGCCTCCCTGCCTCTTGTTGCTACTCCTCTGGCACTTCACTACTGTTATGAAGGTGTTGTTCTTGTTCTGAATGCCTTAGACAGCCAAACAACGGAACCTTCCGTGTAGTTTCGGATCCATGACCTTCGCGCTGCGAAGAGACCCCGTGCCGGTCTTCGATGGTTTTAGCTTGAGGGGCTGGGCTCGCTTCTCGGATTCTTGGATGGACTGGAGACGTATGAAGCTTACTATGTCGCGAGATGCGCAAAAACCGTTTGTGCAAGAATTCGGACACTGGCACATTGTGACACGAGCGGATTCATATTCATATGTATGCGCTGCTCAAAATCATTTATGTGCAAATTGGTTTGCGGATCTGGTTCATCGTCGCCGATGCTACAATGGCCCGCCGCAATACTCTGGCATGACTGCAATGTGTGGGGTGCAATTACTGTGCGTGGATGGTGCATTCCTGGCAATTCGATGCAACTGGTTTTCAGGACTACCTGACGCCTCTGGCAAGCTGGTTTCAACGGGCATGCTTGCTGGTTACTGCTTGGCTCAGAATTTGATGGGGCATCTTGGTATGGCGTCATATAAACAACAGCTGAGCGACATGAATTTGATGCAGGATCTTCTACATGAAAACTTCCATTGGATATCGGGTCCAATACAGACTGCTCAGAGTTGACTACGGATGAGTTTGCTTGGAGAATTCAATACTTGCTGGTGATCTGAGCTTGCTCGTTAAGAAGAAACCATTCATGGACACCCTTGCATGGGTGCTGCATGGACGCCTTGGGTCCAAACCTGCTGCTTTCCGCATGGACGTACCATGGACTCTGCCTGGTCTTCAGTGGTTCTGTAATTAGTGGGATGTTGATGCTGAGCCCAACTATTCTGACCTCACCCTGCAATGTGACCTCGTCCTTGCAAGGTGGGAGGGAAAAAAACTTTACTACGTCCGAACAGGCAAGTAAACCTTAAGCGCTAAGCAGTCCTTTTTTAACCCTAAACCCCACATGGGCTGGAAGATGCGTTCGCACTTTTCAAAAGGCTTTCAAAACAAAAATACGTTAAGCACTGAGAAGTGACACTGGTTCCGAGGCTTCGGCAGATCCCGAGCCGGAAGCCAAGGGTCCTTTGAGGGGATCAGCGTTGCGGCTGTTGCGGGGGGCTGCAGAAATAAGTTAAGGGTTTGTAGGGTTTAACGGTTTAGGGTTTTGGGGGGAGTCGTTGCAGGTCAGTTGCAAAAAAAGTTTTGGGGTTAGGATTGTGTGAAAATGAATCAAGTCAAGGGTGTCTAGGGTTTAAGGCAATTAGATAGTATCCCGCTGCAGTCCGTATGTATGCTAGACTGCTAGACCCTGTGGATGCAACGGCGGAGAAAGAGACGGTGTCCCTATAATATAGCTGTACTACTCACTACAACATACCCCCCCGACTGGTCTTACAGGGGCCGGAATAGATAGCGCAAGTCGCCCTCAAGATTCCCAACATGATCGCAGAAAGAAACTTCCGCGACATCAAAACCCCGGTCTAATTATTCCAGCCTCCATATTAAGAGTCCATATTAAGAGCTAGTGTAGTGATTACAGCAATGGGATCACTAGGTCTGGGAATGGGGGATAATGGGGGTAAATCGACGTATAGGACTTGTGGCAAGGTGAACTGTTGTTCAGCTAGTTCACTTCATATTAACTCAGGAGTTGGTTCCAAGATTTGCAAACACATCGTAGCAGGGTCTGATCGTGCAGGGGCCTAGGGCCCTGGTGTCCACGGTGGAGCCATAGTTTGAAGGGCATTGGTACTGTAAGTTCATCTTGTGGCCCCCTAACCTACATGTAGTTTGTTGGTAGAGTAGCTTTCAAGACTCAAGAGTCGCCCGAACAAAGCGCAGACCTGCTCACGGATCCCGGCCGTCGGTCCTCCAAGCACACCCAATATGTCGGGGCGCTCCTGAGTGCGTCTTGTCTGCCGAGCCGCCGCAAAGAGTGGATTGAGCCATGCTAACCGACATATGCCTAAGGAACCAAACGGCCCACAATAGGCAAACATGCCTTGGTTTATCCCCGGCCCGTTGTTTACTGAAAAAGACAAGAAATGCTTAGCCGAGTTATCAAGACCGAGGCCCTCGCTTCCCCGCAGCGGCTTGCAATTCAGAGCCCCTGAGATTCTAACCGCCCCATCGATCCGAAAGCACAACACTCAAGTCGACACAAGAGCCAAACTTTGCCAGCTTCCATGCCCAAAGCGGCAACACCCGCAGACGTTAGCAAGCAGCGCTGGACACACCGACAATTGTCTCCAGCCCTTCCGACAATGTATGGCTGAGCTGTCCGCGATGGGCTTCAAGATTGAAGAGCATCTCGGACTCCGTGGGGTTCAGGCTGTTGCCATAAAGTGAGACGCGTGCTTTCAGCGGATCCCAGCAACTGCAAAGACACTTCTTGCGACCCCGAGGATCGTGCACCCCGATGAGCAGCGACTTGCGAGGCAGTTCGTGCGCCTTGGTATGCTATGCACACAACACGCCTGGTCTTTGTCAAAATTGTGCAATGGCCTACACTGCGGTATTTCGCAACTCTCCTAGAGACGAGGCACTTTCCCTCAGAAGTCTTTTATTAAAGTCATAGTCTCATAGTCATAGCCTCAGTCCCTAAAACACTTTTTGTGGAGCCTTGCCTGCCGTGTGCGAGAATGAGAGTCGAAATCCCTTTATTGAAGAAGGGTTTGGAATCTTAGTATTACTTCCATCATGGCCCTCTGCCCAACCCCCAGTCAAGCATCACCAATGCCTCCGATGGACCTTGTAGGAGGTGGGTCGCCAAGAACTGCTGCAGCTAATTTTCGAACATGGACGTTCCAGTTTTGCAAGCATTGTAGCCGCTTCATCTGCCATAGCAGACCTTACCCTCTAAACGCATCACCCGAGGGTGGCACTCCTACGTAGGTGCTATAGGCAGGCGGAGATGAGCTGGAAACCGCCCGTTCCGACTTAAACTCACTCAAAGCCAAGCCGCTTGAGACCTCTGCCCTAAACTCCGAACTCCAAATTGACCAAGAGCTCCCTCCCGGGCCCATCGCCCTCAACTGCTCGAGGGCTCACCTGAACATCACCAAAGCCGAGGTGCAGCGTCTGCCTTTGCATCCTGAGCGATCCCATGCAGACGATTTGTGACCACGTCTTCTGCACCTCGGCGGCCGAGGGGCTCTTGACATCAGGAGGTCAGTTGGGGTCGACAGTTCAGAGCTTTCGGGTTTCGATTCTTGCAGTTTGGGCAGGCCCAGGGCCTTCGGGTTCAAGGGGCTATGTGGGTCTTCTAGTTGTGTTTCCGTCAGGGTTTCGGGGTTAGGTTTGTGCGACGCTTAAGGTTTTCAACATGGAACCTGTGCAGACCCTCAGAGGTTTCTCCAATAAATGCCTCTGCGGTACCATAGCCCGAGGAAGTCTAATATGATCGGCTCGTGCAGAGTGTCAGGTAGTCTCTGTGACGAATGTGCCCGCGGAAACTCATAGCTTGCACTGGTAGCCGTGCACGCAGATTGGCTTCCCGAGGCGGCGAGTGCATTTCGCCCTGTCTGGCTTGTCCGCAGCTGGTCAGTCAAGAGCTTGCGTAAGTTCTGGGCTTAGTCTTGAGGTTCCGGCACGCCGGCATCCCGCGTTTTCCAGGTTCAAGGTTGAAGTGACAAATAAACGAAAGAAGGTGAAGGCTGTTGGGTTTGGAGTCGGTGCGACACCACACCTCGTGAGCCATGGGCTGACATCTCCCAAAGTCCAACTACACCGCAACAGTCTCTGAAACCTCTTACGCGCAATTACTTAGTCTTGAGTTGAAACGAGTTGCAGTCTAGTTCTCTTAGGGCTTAGGCTTAGGTTTCACACCGAGCCAAGCACCAAGAACCTCGTGTGGCCCGTCCGAGCGTGAGCGCCGAGACCCTAATCCCTAAACCCGGCGAGGCTTGTCCCCGTGGTGAGTGCTGGATGGAAACCCTCAAAGAATCCCTAAGCCCTAAATTCAAGCTTCTGGGGTCGTCAAGCTCAGGTTGCAGGGTGACAAGGTTTAGGTTTAGGGTTGGGGTGCTTTGGGTTCAGAGTTCAGGGCCGGGTTTCAGGTCGAGTGGGTGGGTTATGAGTTTAGGTAGGATTTAGTTTAGTTTTTTCATCTGTGTTTTGAAGCCTTCTGTGCTGCAACGTGTTTAGTTTACCTCGGGCGCGAGAGCCAAGGACATGCCGGACGCCAATCTCGCCGGAAGACCGAAAACCATTGCGGGAGTGTCGCCCGGCTTGCAGGGGTGTGCGGATTAGGGTGGTTGGGGGGTTCAATAAGTTGTGGAAGTTAAGTTTCGCCTAGAACTCTGGGACTGGGCTTCTATTCTTTGGGCTAGACTTGGATCAGGTATCTGCGGTACCGTGCGGAGAATTACTAATTGGGCATGAGGTGTTCCAAGCCTTTGTCGAGACCAGACTATCGTTTCGGTGGTGATATCAACAGGATGCCACTCGCAGTTATTTACAAACGCTACCACTGCCAGTCTTACTGTGGCTGCTCATGGCCACGGTGCTTGTTGCCATGATGTGCTTATGATATAGCTGCGGGACCCTTTCATGTCAACATCCAAGACCAAAGCGAATCTTCTGGAGAATCTTCAGTTCTTCTGAGCTCGTCTTCGGGATGAGTTGGTGGCAATAGACTCCAAAACGCTATTGCGGCTGCGTGCCTCTGCCGCTGCCGCTACCGCTGCTTTTGCACCTGTTGTTATTACTTATGATTTTGTTGTTGAGCTGTTACGACATGTCCCAATCACGATACGTTTTAAGTAGCAAAGACAGAAAACAATCATCATAGTAGTGATGCTGTAAAAACTCTTCATAACCACAAAGATGTCTTTCGTTGTAGCCGGGGACGCTTGTCTTTGCCCCGGCTTTCAGCACAGCACAGAGGGTGATCCACTCCGGGCCCATCTGCTTGCCATCTAAGAGGTAGGAAGAAGGTTGGTGGACATCGTGCTAACATTGCAATCAGGGCCGATTGTGTATGTCCCATCCCAGGCAACTAAGGTAGTTTTGTGAGGGCATTAGACCCGAAGCCTTACACTGCTCTTTGAGAGCATGCACCGGTTCTACCCGAACTACGGTAGAGGAGATGTTTAGCTGAGGGCGGAGATGGCGAAGTAAGTCTGAAACTAGCGGCCCTTTTTTTCAGCCACAGCCTTGGAACCTCAAACCATCCTGCCTTTGTCCTGTCTGCGGCGTCTTTAGCTATGCCATTAGGCCCAAGCCTCTGAACCCTCACCTTAAGTAAGCGACCCTCCCCACCGAGAGCGAGCACCTCCTGATCAACGCTTCCGGATGAACAGGTGTTAAATTGTAGCGGCCGCAGTGGCTTCTCGGGGTTCACTCATGCAAGCCATGGCTGGAATCCTTCAGAACATCCGTAGCTGGTAGTGCTTATTTATTTCTTAACGAGATAGCTTCCAAGCATTTTGTAGTAGAGACTGGAAGCATCTGACTCCCCATCGTCCCGGATCCCCTGGCCCTAGCCAGTACTCCTGTTATCTGTAATGCACGGCCATTGTCCACAAGTCATTTTACAGTCTAAGGGTAGGTTAGCTGATGCAGGGCTTTTACATCGCCGCCGGCGCTGGAGTGTAGTGGCCTTTGAAAGTAGACAACTAAATCGGAGCTATGATTCTGAGATACACTCGATGTGGTTGTAGAGGGCATAACCCGAGGTAGATTCCCTTACCTCCCTACAGTTTTTGTTTGCGCCTTCGATGCTTCTTCAACCCACCATTGAAGATTCAGTCCGGGACTGGAAAAAAGGTCAGGTGGCATAACCCTGGCATCAGTTTATAGTTTGGTTTAGCTTAGTTTTAGTTTAGTAAAGTGAAAGCCCTAAACCCTTAGCCTCATGTGGGTGTAAGCCCCCAGTAGGAAGAGGTTTACCAGGTTTGGGTCTGCAGTGCTTGCCTAGGCGGTTTTAGGATAAGCCCCCGGCATGGTCCATTTAAGCTCGAATTGAAAGACATGCTTCTGTACCCTTCTTCCGGCGCAAAAATTGGGAGCCTGGGCTACCCAGTAGCACGACCGGCATACACAACTGACTTTGGGTTGACCCCAAGCCCGAACGCGGGTTGCGTGGAAATGTGGGCTTCGCAGCCCCGCAGGGCCCGAACCCGGCGCCCAGGGTGCTTTTCATGCTCGTGAGCTGGGAGCACGGATCATACGTTCTGAAGTGAAAAATGGCTCCGACTTTTTTCCCCAGGCCTGGATGGTGGGTCCGTCCCGGAGACCAAGCTTGGTCCTGCAGCTGCTTGGGAACCTTTGCGTCTAGAGCTGAATCAGGTTAGCCCAGTGTGAGGGCCGCTCACTGGACGATGGAAATAATCCAGCTGTTGCCACCATTTGGGTCTGTTGTCTTGCGAGCACATTCGGAAAGTGCTCATAAGCTCTAGGGTATGATGGGCAACAATTTGAAGTAGTCGGCCGGGCTTGAATGGGTGCAGGTGCAAGTGGTGTTGGGTTGCGTAGTGAGGGAACGGAAGTTACCGAGTACTACTGAGCCCCCGATTGTATGCTAAGCCTGCTGTTGCACCAAACTAGGACCCCTCCAGGCCGTAGACTTCACGAATTACGAGGAGTCTAGAAGCCCCAGCCCTTCAGGAAGCTTTGAGGCTTGCACATCATCTACAGCTTGGCAGTTAGGTCTCCCATGCCAAATGCTTAATTTGGGTTCTTGTAAGTTAGTCGTAGTCTGAAAGATGAGACTTATTTCTCTGGGTATTGCAGAAGTAAGGAATAAGCAGGATCGTGCCAGTCGCGACTTGTGGTTTAGACTCATGTGGGCCCGGGAAGGTGCTGCTCAATCAAGACATTCTGGCGACGGTAGGACACAGCGTTCTAATGTACTTATAATTATTCGACGATGAGGTGTTAGAAGCATCTTGAGCTTCGGGCAACCCCGCTCAAAAGTCTGGGGCATCGCAAGGTTCGGTGCTATATGAAAGGGAGTTGGCAGCCAAGCTCTGGCTCTTGGCTGGTACAAATTAGCTTTCCGTTGCTCGGTTGTGGTGCTACCTAGGCAATCGTCCTCTTCTGAGGATGATGCACGATCTCAAGGCCGGGGGGGGGGGTTGCAGTTCTGCACGTCCACGTCCACGAGGAAAATTCGGGCATTCACGGCATGCGGATGAGACACGGCTAGCGGCTACTGTAGGGATACAGAAGGAACGATGCAGAACAGCCCTTGTTGTCCGAAGCTCTGCAATCTACGACTCGGGCGGAAACGAGAAAGCTTCGTGGATGTTGAGCCCTAGGCTATTCTGCGTCGGGGGAGCTTTAGGAATTCGGGGCCCTGCAGCCGGCAACGCTTAATGGATTAAATCCCCGAAACCCAAATTATCAGCTGCGAGAGAAAGCACAACACCTTGAATCCAAACCGCCAAGACACGCCCCGAAATCAAAATACCAGAAACTATGAAATCTCAGAAAATGAGAAATAAACAGAATCCGGACCGACAGGTCTGGTGCCCTTACCACCAGCACAGCAAGGCCTTTTCTCCAGGGGATCACTGGGCATCTCTACAGAGAGTTTGGGTTTGGGCGTCGGTTTACTCTAAACTGCCCTAAGCCCTAAACCCTAATTGGGGTTAGTGCCCCTAGCTCGGATTTTGTACGAGGTAGTAGATGGTGTCAAAGCCCACCTTAAAACGCCGGCTGCTGGCTGATGAGAGTCTGCTGGCTGATGAGAGTTGGTTTGTCATTATATTATTGTCTGTTGCTTGCAGTGCGCAGCTTGAGCGGCAGAATGTGACACTTAGCAGATACCGACCGCGAAGGGGGCGTTGAAGTGGCCTGAATAAAGGGGCTTCATTGCTTGGTATTTGCAAGATTTTGGGCTTGGAAGGCGTTGTGGCTCCAGATCTGGGTTCATTGAAGGCTCCACGCCTTGAGTGCTTGGGGTTTAAGGTATAAGTGTTGAAGGATCGCGGATTCTGGGGGGCCTGGGATAGCTTATGGGTGTCGGATGGACATTGTAGGACCGGGCATGTCCGACAGTGTGGGGAGTGGGGGGGGGCGGCGGTGGGATTGGGTGTTTAGGAAGTCGAGGAGCTATTGTGTTCTTGGTTTTTGTGGGGTTTGATGCATTTTAAGGGCCCCCACCCTCTCCCCCCCTCCTCCCCGTGTTTCTGGCTGCGCTGTTCATCCCAGAGGGGGCCAAGCCTCCAGTTGAAGCCACGAGACTTCCCAAACCCAAGCCTGAATCTAGAGAGGACGGAGTCTGCAAGTGGGTGAGAAATCTAGGGAGCCAGGAAGATCCGGTGATGGAGATTTACTCGAGCGGTTCTCAGTGAAGTTCTCAGTGTAAACTAATTCACACATTCTGTGCAGAAGCAGGTGCCCTATGCGGCCCCCCGCGGCCCTTCATGCCTCGACGGCCGGGAGGGTGAACAACCCACGTTGTGAGGGGGTTGGGAAGTCTGGGCTTCGGCAACAAGGACTTGGATTGTGCAGGTGTAAGTTCTGGTAAGATGGGTTCTTGGTTCTTGGCTCTGCACTACTCTTGCCTCGTCTGAATCAGGGAAGTAGATTTCTAGCTATTTTTGGGAGTGTGATTAGGCACATTGAGCTGAGGTGTTTGATGCCTTGTTTCCTTACTGAGCACCGGTAAGCAGTTGTGGATTTGAAGGGCTTCCAGTCGCAGCAAAGCTTGACCGACAAGTCTCGTCCTCATTGCTGAGTCTTGCTAAGCCCCACGGGTTTGCGGTAGTCCAGGATGTCTGCGTCGGCGAGAGGCTTTCCATTACCGGCGGTCAGCTTCCAACTCTTAGTCGGCCTAGTCGCCCAGCCAGGAATGCCAGAGTGGCAGATGCCTAAGGCCCAGATTTTAATCTGATTCAATCAGACCGCAAGCGCCCCGAGACCGGCAGGGGCGAACGAGTCTAGCGGTACCCTGGCTGGCCAGTCGGCCAGCGGCGAGAGCAGCGGCCTGGCTCACTCAAAGTCCGTGCTTGCGACTACCGACTCATAGTATGGCTGCAGCTGTTGTTGTTATTGAGATTGTTTGTGTGGTTCCCTGTGAAGTTGATCGTATTGATTTGACCAAATACCGCAGATGCAAAGGTGCTGAAGTGTTTTTGCCTTGGTTACAGCTGCGATCATGATGTTGATGGCGAGGGTAAATACTGCGACGGTTATTGTCATCTGAGTACTCTGGCCAAAGTAACCAGTACTCTGCTTGTGGTCGGTGGTCTCAGTTCCCGCATGCGCGAAA